GCATACTTGAGATTTTTGAGTTTTGAAAAAAGTCTGTACATGTTATACCCCCTGGTTTAGGTCCTTGAGAGCATACTTGAGATTTTTGAGTTTTGAAAAAAGTCTGTACATGTTATACCCCCTGACATTTTGATTCCAGACTGATCTCACCACTTTTAAAAAATCAGGGTGTTTAGCCCACATATTAAAGAATTTAAAATGTTTTTTTCCTTCAAAATTGTCATCTCCAATAGCAATGAGACCAGGGGAATGATCAGAGCAAAGAGGCATCAAATATTCCACTTGACTTCTAGTATATTGAGAAACCCAATCTTAATTCACCAATGTTCTGTCCAGCCTGCTCCAGACTCTTATTTCAGTATCTTGTTTGTTGCTCCATGTGAAAAAGCAACCGGTAGTTTTTATATGACTCGGCTGACTAGATGAAATAAATCCTTGAAAGTCATCATTACCATCTCCAGATGCCTGAGCACCTCCAATTCTATCATCACCATTTACAATGGCATTGAAATCCTCACCCACCAACCATGGACAATCAACACTCCTTTTGAAATCTAATAGTTCTTCCCAAAGAGTTTTCCTTTCATCATTCTGATTGTGAGCATAAACTGCAGTGAACAAGCATGACAATTTACCATCCTTAGACTTCATATCACAGTTGATATATTGATCAAAGGATTTAACCACTTGAACTGAGAACATTTCACTATCCCACAAAATCCATATTCGAGCATTATTTGCCAAATGCTTATTAGATAACCACTTCCACTCTTTTGTAATTTTTTTACCAATAAACTGTAATTTCTCATCACCAGCTATTTTAGTTTCCAAGAGAGCTAGAAAAGAAATTCTGTAATCCTGAATAAACTTTTTCACTACCCCATGCTTAGAGGATTTATTTAATCCTATAATGTTCCAAATAGCCAAATACATTTATTAAAAAATATCCCCTCTATAAACATTAGAGGGATCAAAACCAAAAATTTGAAGATCAAGGATAGATGTACTGATATTTGAGACTGAAATATGTGCACCTCCTATCTTCTTCACACTGCCCAGTATAGCATTGAGATCATCTGCTACAAATTTATTGCCAGACACCTCAGTTTCCAATAAAGCAATGATAAAATGCTTCACTAACATGAGATTAGAGGATTTGCTAAATCCTCTAATATTCCCAAATGCTAATTGTATTAAAAAGATAAGCCACCCCTTTCAAAGAGGTCTAGACTATGCATTTGGTGAGCCAATGGAGAGAAGAGAGATGCTTGGAAATATGAAGTTCCTACTGCATCTTTAGCATCTGGATTGGCTCTCCTTGAAGTTTTCCCTCTATTGACACTAGAAAAACCAGTTGAATTGATAGTTGGAGAAGAAAATTGTGGAGCATATACCCATATACCCACACTTGTATCATATTGAATAGATATGTGTACCACTTATATATAACATATATGTGTGTATGCGCACGCATACGCACCGAATATAAATATGTAGTAACCACATCTGTATCTTAACTGATTCGGATATATCTGCATATATGAATAATTTTTTCAGATATATTGGCAATATATGGAATATTTTTTGCCCAGAGCCCCACCCCCCCCCCCAAAAAAAAAAGACCATCTGAATGCCAAGCTTAGTCATTCACTACGTACCCATAGTTATAATTCATTCAAACATTCTATTAAAAAAATTCATTCAAACATACTGACTATTCTGTATAGCCATTTTGCTCAGTTTAATCTTACACTTAAAAGAAATTATAATAGTCTTTTACCTATTTGTTGTGCGCGGAAGCCAATTGCTGTGCTTCGAGGAACCAAAATAAACGCTGAGAGAGAAAGCCAAACAAACCAAAATAACGGCACAAACACAAACAAACGAATTTTACGTGGTTCGGTAAGTTGTCTACGTCCACGGGGCAAGAAAGGGATGGAGTATTCACTAATAGAGAAGAAGAGTACAAACTGAGATTACAAATCACTCAAACTCACCAATTAATCTCACCTGAGATTACAAATCACTCAAACTCACCAATTAATCTCACCAACAAAGCTCTTAATCTCTCAAACAAAACTCTAACCAATAGCTCACTCAAACTCACCAATTAATCTCACCAACAAAGCTCTTAATCTCTCAAACAAAACTCTAACCAATAGCTCAGAAAGATCTCTCTTTTCTGTGCTCCAAATATCCCCACAACAACTCCCGAAATAAACCCTAAAACGTGTTTGATATTTATACCAAACACAAATCCAAATCAGAACAGGAAACTCAAATATGGGCATGACCCAATACGCGGTCGATCGCAACGGTCGACCGCGACAAACGACAGAACCCATAAAATCAATACAGGGTTTGGCGGTCGACCGTGACAGTCGTCCGTCACCAACTCCAGAGCCTCGGATCTGATTACAGGGTTTGGCAGTCGACCGCCGCGGTCGACCGCACGAAGTCCAGAATCAAACCCTGAGCTGTGCACGTTTTCGGTCGACCAGCCTAGCCTCATGGTCGACCGAACATCACAAAAATTGTTTCCATGTTTCCAAAACATGTTCTTCTCCAATTCCTTCGCCAATTCTACACTTATCCTTCTCTTTTTGTACTTCACTTAATTACTCTTTATGGTAGCATCTTTTAAGGACTCATCGACATCCATACAAACGCGCATCCGAACTCAATATGGGAGACAAGGGGGTGGATACCTCTTCAGTGTGATCGAGGAAGACTCGCGTAATTGAGGCTTCATATTTATCACCCATGACGATGAGGTGACGGCTCTGATTAAGGATGTGACTCAAACATCCGTTTTCGTGGTGGCCGCGCTTAAATTCTACGCAAATTATTAGCCACGTCTAGTTTTTGGTGTCTTTTCTATATTTCGTTTTCGCTGCGAATATTGCCGAACAGCGACTTGTTGGCACGAGTTAATTAAAATTAGCTCAACTTGGTTACAATTTGTGGACGCATGATGCGTGAGGAATATTCAGGGTGTCTAATTAATTAGGGTCCAAAATTAAAGAGAGGAATAGGAAGCTCATGGGAATGTCTCGCGTGCGCAACAATGCGAGATCTTGATAAGAACTCCTACCGCTAGAGCTAACGCACATATAATATTTTGAAACTATAACTAAGGTTTTCCGTAAGTACGTGACAAAATATGGTGAAAGATATAAGAAAATATTTTAGAACCGCATAAAGTTGTATCTTCAAACTAATCACTTTCATGTCAATTACATTGTCTCAAATTTTGTTTAAAAACACAATTGGATATTGTCAGAAAAAAGAGGAATTAGGGAGTGGAGTTCGGATAGGAGTCCATCTCATAACCCCTCCGCATGCGGGCGGATGATTTTGAGCCTTATAATGGGGAGGACAAAATATCCATTTGCGCCTATTTGTTTTATGTAAGGTTAAGAATATTGCCCCCTTGCATGAAAAAGGAAATTAGGTATCCTTTTTGTGCTCTTAATCTGAATTTTTTCTGCATCATGTTTATGCTTTGAAGTTGGAATAACCAAATACGCTTTGGATTTTAAAGTAGGAAATTAAAAATTTGTTCAATGATGCAGATGAAAATTATTATAAATAAAATGAGGAAATAAATGTTCAAACAAGTTCGGGATGTGCAATCGAGGTTGCGTGATGAAAGAAATTTCTGAATGTTTATAGCTCTCGTTCGCAATCACCTTTAGTACATATTTGACATTTAATATGTGCGCACAGAGGAACATATGGGTGTGCTTGGCAATTGCGAAATATGATTGAGTTTGAACTAGTTCTTGTTTAACTAGGCTAGAGTTGGTCCGTGTAGAGGTTGGTTCAAAAAAAAAAAGTTTAGGTGTTAAAATTTGAACTGGAAAAAGCAAAGTTGGCCCAAGTTTTGCCAAACTAAAACTTTTTAGACCATATTTGTATCCGCTGAAACTAGTTCCATATACACCCAATATCTAAAAGCTAAGTGAGAAATGGGCTTAACGCGCGTACGTATATGAGCCTTGGTAAGCTCGGGCGCAATTCATACCTTCGGCCTTTTCTCTGGTCTATGAATTTTCGGAACGCCCCTTTTGAAAGCAAATTTTCAGGCATTTTTGGATATTAATCTATCCATCTTGCATTATTGCGCATTATTATATAAAATAATTACTAGGATCCATGGGAATATCCTCGGATTGTAAATGATTTTCATTTAACAAAGTGATCTCTTTTATACTCCTTCAAAAATTTTGCCCGATGTTGAATCTTCAAGTCTGCTAACACTTCCAGGCATCTTTAATCTTCTTCTTTATCCAAAGTTATTAATCTAAAAAATCACAAGCACGCATATTAGAAAATAGTTGTGATAAAACAACTCATTGAAAAAATGGCTACAAAGAGAAACGGCACTTTGCCAAACGCCAACCATATTGAAAAACATAAACCTTATTAATTTTATTTTTTAGCAGTTCATTTTACTAAAGACGCGGCAGAAATAAATAACTACTTTAATTCTTACCCAGAGCTAACTCTCAGCATGTCGTGACTATTAAGAAAAGCAACGCTACAAATAATCTGGCGGTACCTCGGCGAATTAAAGCATGTCCAACGTTACTTCAAAAAGTCATTTTGACACCAAAAGAGCACAAAACTTTCACCAACCTAGCGTCAAAACCTGCACTATTTTGGGCGCAACACTGTAGATATGAAGTTTTTTCTTTTTCCCAGTTTGCCCTTAGAATTGGTTATAACAAATTAAATATTCCAACCATATCCCATTTCATCCATCATATTTCCTATTTGGTGAAAAATTTGGTGTAATGGATTGGAGATGGAATAGTAATTTGGTGTAAGACCTACATCAACTTGGTGTAAAAACTGCACCATTTTGGGTTTTTTGGTTGGAGACGCTCTTAGCGCCTGGTATTTACTTTGGATGAGGTAAGATCAAAAAATAAAATAGTCAGGGGCTGATATGCATAACTATATTTTGTACTTCAAGTCAAAAAATGCGATCTAAGGGAGATTCGTACCTAGCATTTGATCGCCCTTTTCTTGCTGCTTCCTCACCTAAACCCGAGTTTCCCATCTCCTCCTCCATTTTCAGTCTTGCTTCGATTTTTTAATTTCTTTTTATTCGCTTAAATTTTTTAGAGAGCGAAACTAATGGCGGTTGTCGCTAAGATCGCACCGTCGATGTTGTCGTCGGACTTCGCCAATCTCGCGTCGGAGGCCGAACGCATGCTCCGCTGCGGCGCCGATTGGCTCCACATGGACATCATGGTAATTTCTAAGAAAACTGTTCTGAAACCCTAATCTTTGATATCGATCGTTTAGATTTGAAAGCAATTGATTCTGCGTAGTTCGCCTATTTATCAAAATTCTCGTCTTGGGCGATTAGGGGTTTCAAAGATTTGGTTGGTTGGCTGGCTAGTAAATTTCAATGATTTGATGAAGAATATGATGTTAGCAATTTAGCACTTGGTAAAACCTCAGCATGAAGTTACATACCTAAACTTTGCATTTTTGAGTCAAAGTCTTCATAAATTGGGAACTTGTAATTTTTAAATTAAACTTGATCTTCAAGCCGTGCCATTTTGTCAGCTAACAACTTTACACATCAGATATTATTAGATAATTAATCCCCCATTAACAAAAAAAAAATGTAATTACATCCTATTTGCTCCTGTAAAAATAAAACCTGGTTATCTTGAAAAAAGTTTTTACCATTGTAACATATATCAAGCAAAGTTCACTCTTTGATTACTTATCTTGTGCCGTCCTTTATGCCACATAGAAGGGCTTTGGTATAAAAAGTACGCAGAAGAGCAAAGTAGGTCAGGGTAGATAACCTTACTTTTTCAGCGAGCATCTGAACCTAAGATGGACTCTCTAAACTAGGGGAGCCCTAGTAGTAGTGCCATCCTAGATTACCACATAATGTAGATAAGCTTATGAGTTGTGAGCTGATAATATATATCTATCAAATGTAATAGTTAACCTAACATATCCCAGAAATTAAGATGCTGTACTGTTGTCACATTGAATGTAAACCTGATTGACCTAGAAGTGGAAGTTAGTAGCCAAAACTCATCTACCTATCATAAAGTTTGCCATCTTTTTTTATAGTACATTAGTCAAGTCAATCTGTGGCAATGTTCTAAATACGGATGTTGGTGACATGTCGGACATATGTCAGATAGCAAACATCGAGGGTATATGGGAGATATTTAATAAATATCAGGGTGTCATATCAGATAATGTGTGTGTATGTCATAGATGTTCATACTTGATGGGTTATGGTCATGGGTTTGACTTGTACTTGGATGTACCGTTCACAACTATGGTTGCTCATATAGGAATTGCATTCACTTGCATAACACTCAGCCTACCAGGCATATGAGAACACTTAGTTTTCCATCTTATTGTGCTTGTGATCTTCCCAATGGTCTTGTATTCTCATGATCTACGTGCAATGCTGCACGTGGTCACTTCTATACAGGATTATACTACCTTCAAAGATCTTCAGAAGTGCTTCTGGTCAGTATCTTCCCCACTTTACCGAAATTCCATTATGACCTTGACTCAGGGTGTTAGCATTAGTTAGATGTGCGTGTTATCGTGTTTATATAATTAGATTTCTTTAGGTTATTTAATGTTATACATGGCTCTTTCTATCATGCCCAATTGCTCTTATCTCTGCAGGTGGTGTCCCTTAGTAACGACTTTAGTTTCATGTGTATAAGATAGATCTATTTGATGACACCATCAGGCATAAAGCAATTCTTATTCCCAACTCTTATGCTTTCCTCTTTGGAAATTAAATTTACAAAACTGATGAAATGATTCTCAGTTTTTTATTTAGCATAGCCTAGAAGGAAATGCTTGTCCTTATGCTTATTATTCCTGAGAAGCTCAATGCTTGATGTGTAGCCTACAAGGGAAGGCTTGTCCTTATTCTTATTATTCCTGAGAGGCTCAATGCTTATTATTCCTGAGAAGCTCAATGCTTATTATTCCTGAGAAGCTCAATGCTTGGCTACCTTCTTTTCAAAATCCTTTTCTTTCTGTGCATGCGGGGTGCCATGGCTGCCGGCTGCCTGTTGTTTGTTGGAATAATTTTCAATTTACGGTTTGTTGACACATTGGGAGTCAATGCGGACAAACTTGTACTTGAACGCGGAATTATACATAGGTTATGAAAAAATGTTTCAAATAATTTGTGGAATTTGCAGAGACCATAATTATGATGAACAATGAACATCATCTGTAAGATTTAGATTCTCCACTTGAGAAAGGCAATTTTAATGCAAAATCTCTTTGTAAATAGAATGAACTGTGTTTTTCTTGGTAGGATGGGGTTGACATTGTTCCTTTTCTCATGTTTCTGTTGTTTATTTCATAACTGACTTTTCTTGATTTACAGTGCTCCATCTCTATTTTCTCTATTTTCTATATTTTCTCTTCTTGCTATTTCAGCACATTAGTTTGTATATTTGAAACCTTTTGAGCGCCATTGGTGCGAGCCGGCGCGATGGGCGGTGGCCATGCCCCCCCCCCGCCCCCGAGCTTTTGTTTCTTTTCTTTCCCAAACTAAGTGCTAGTATCAATATATGAGTTTCTTCACATATTAATCACTCAAGCTTTCCTATTTAAAATTAGCTCCCAACCTTTTCACATTAGTGAAATTTTCTCATAAATATTTGAAAAGTAGTTGAAATTAGTTTTCTTCTGTTACATTTAAACCATTGTAACCATGATTGGATGCGCTTATCATGACGATACTAGTGACACTACCAAATCAGCCAAATCAATATTCAGAATTCAAACAAAATCAAGCTTTGAAATCAGTGGATTTAAGCCTAATTATCCCACAATCCTTCCCAATTGCTTGCTCTAGTAAAGTTATCTGGAAATTTGGTTTGAATGCATAAGGGTGTAACTGCACACAAAAATGTAAAAGATGGCTACTCACTCAATTTCAACTAACTTTCAACTAGCAGGACTAATGTGTGCGCAGTTGACTTGTGAGAGCAGAGCGTGTGAGGGCGTGTAAAAGGGACAAATAATCTTGCTCTCACTATTATAATATATATATATATAATATATATATATATATATATATATATAATACTATAATATATATGGCGTAGCATGGCTACCAAGTTCTTTCATTGAACTTGGTAGTGAGGTGCGATAAAATCCGACCCTAACATCACTCCTTGAAAATAGAGCCCTCTATTTTGGAGTAGGCGCAAAAAGTGATCTGAGACCTCTATTTTTCGAGGCGTATGTAGGGTCAGAATTTGTCCACGTAACTACCAAGCTCAAGGAGAAACTTGGCTACCAAGGTTCTACTATTTTCATATATATATATATATATATATATATATTATATATATTATATATAACTATACTTATATATATATATATATACATATACCTAGCGCATCGTATTTTCATAAATTTCTTTGCATTTCAAGCCTTTAGAATAGCGGGAATGTTAATTTCCACTGACCGCCATTATTTTGTGATTTAATGTAAGAATTGAATTCACCGTTTTTATTTTCACGAGGCACTTACAGCTTGTACAATGGAAGTAATTGTAGTCTTGTTGGGGACAAAACAAATAAACAACACATAACACAACTCTCCGTAGATTTTAGAACTCTAATCACAACTCACCTTTGCGAGTCACACTAAATCATATTCTGCATATACTGACATACTGAATATATGACCATTATATGTACGTATTAGCGCAAAGTATAACGAAGTAAACTTTGAATCTCTATCCACGACTTGATTACTCTCTTTCCACTTTTTTACATCTTATTTGTAAGTCTATCGATTATCAGCGTAGTTTATATTCTATCAAGTCTCTTTATTGATGTCATGCGGTCTTGCTACCCTCACTACACATCCCTCCCCCTCTAGGCTACCTACCTCGCCTGTTTAAACCGCGCTACCCAATCCTAATATAGTGTGTGTCTCCAATGACTCACTCAAACACTATATCATTCTGTTATAAAACTGTCACAGTGATGCAGCAAGAAAGAATATTGTAAAGAGAGATCCATTTCGTCCTGTTGCACCCAAAGCCGTCAAGGCATTGAGAGAACAGATTTATAGAAAATGTCCGGTTTCTGTTAGCCCAAAAAGTTGTTATGGCAGTTGTTTATATTTTTGTTTTTCTTCGTCTCGTTTGCCCAGCCTAATTTCATTTTATTCGATAAATATCGGCAGATCGGCCTGCTAACTTTAGAATTTCAATTTATCTTCTTTACTTCTGATCAAACATCATTTATATTGTATAATTCTTGGACTTGAATTTTGTAAAAATGTTGTCTTCGTGGCTATTAGAATGACGTTAATGATTTGGGTAGGACTGGGATTGGCGTTCGCTGTTGAAGTCCCTATGTCTCATGGGCCCGTATGGCCTTAGTTTTTCAAAAAAACCAATGGCAAAGTAATATGCGATCCAAACATGTTTTTTATGCATTCTATCACATGCTTTGCCAAACTTCTTTTGTTGAGAGTGCATGCTACTTGAGGCCAAGGCAGATAGTATTTTTGAAGTACTTGCTTGCAGTTGTTTCTTAAATGCGCATTAGCTTAATTTTGTTTGTCTTTTGTTTATTTTACATATACGAGGCAATGGAGTAATGCGTTAAATAATGTCTTGGCCCTAGTCGGTCTCGTAGACTTCACGCAACATTCAAACAACCTGGTTCCTAACTTGGTTAAGGAAGAGCATGTTACGTCCACTATCCAGTAGAACGACAGGTGCAGATTTACGCGTAAAGGTGGCACTTGTTGCTTAATATTTTGCAAGCCTCAAAACAATTTATAGAGTTTCTAACGAGTCGCATTGATTGCGACGAATGGCCACCGCTCAAGCCCCGTCCCCTTGCGAGAGTCGAACAGGACACATCTAATGCAACTTTTGAAAGTTTTGAGCCAATACATCATGACTATTTTATGCAACAACAGTTTATTTATGTGGCTACACTTTTTTCCTCGCGCCAATATATTCTGCCACACGTCTTATTATTCTTACTTTGTATATTAAAGGTATGCTACAAAATTGCTAAATTCTTAGGGAAATTTTCTTTTTAAAATGTCGGAGAGGGAAAGGTAATCATCATGCCAACAAGGTTGATTGTACTTCCATGTAAAGTCATTGATTGCTTGGGCATTCTGATTACACAGTTATGGCTAAGAACAAGGTTTCGTGCAACATTTTGCTAGAGCCCATATTAATTCCAGAAATAAGAGCTGACCCCCCCCCCTCCTGCCGCCGCCCATGCTGACATGAGTATATATGTATATTATGCTTTTTGCAATCGTATCCAACCATGTGTAGTTGCGGAAACCTTTTATTTTTTGTCCCATGCTGCTTTTTAAACGATGGCATTCGTCTTTGACTGAATCAGTAACCACAGTTCAAATATTGCATGTTTATTCTCATGTCCAGTGTCTAATTATCATAAAAAATAGTCACATTCACCTTTCAGACAGTCGGAGTCTCACTAAATTATGTTTATTTTCGGAAGCTTCATATTTCAGGTATTGCCATTGACTATGATTCTTCCCTAAATCTGCGGCCGCTTTGCCCATGTTTTATTAGAGAGCAGCATCCCCAGAGCTCCATAAGATGCCGTAACAAAATTAAGAAAGATGAGCATTTGATAATGATGAAACAATACTAGAATGAATCTGCCAATAAGCATTTTATTATTAAATCCAAAGGAAATTATTCACACACAGTAATGTCATGGATTATGGTCCCATTACTCCCCTGAGAAATAGTTTGGTCCGGTTTGCCCTACCAAACTAGCCTATTGACTTGTGTCTCATTTCCTACTTCACATTACCTCCTATGGTTATTGTAGTTTTCAAGTTGGCAACGGATAACTCCTGCGATACCCTCAAAATATATTTTGAATTTTTATATTTAGCCATACCAAGGGTGACCCTCTGGCACATCGTCCATACTTCATTGATGTGATTCGTAGTATCAATATATGAGTTTCTTCACATATTAATCACTCAAAGCTTTCCTATTTAAAATTAGTCCCCAACTTTTCACATTATGAAAATTTTCTCATAAATATTTGAAGTAGTTTGAAATTAGTTTCTTTGTTACATTTAACACCCATTGTTAACCATGATTGGATGGTTAATCATGGACGAGTATCTAGTGAACTACCAAATCAGCCAAAATCAATATCAGAATTCAACAAAATCAAGTTTGAAATCAGTGGATTTAAGCCTATTATCCCACAATCTTTCCCAATTTGTGCTCTAGTAAAGTTTATCTGGAAATTTGGGTTTGAATGCATAAGGGTGTAACTGCACACAAAAATGTAAAAGATGGCTACTCACTCAATTTCAACTAACTTCTAACTAGAGGGACTAATGTGTGCGCAGTTGACTTGTGAGAGCAGAGCGTGTGAGGGCGTGTAAAAGGGACAAATAATCTTGCTCTCACTATTATAAATATATATTATATATAATAATATATATATATATATGATATATATTAATACTATATATATATATGGGTACATGGTACCAAGTTCTTTCATTGAACTTGGGTAGTGAGGTGGATAAATCCTGACCCTACATCACTCCTTGAAAATAGCAGCCTCTATTTTGGAGTAGGTGAAAAGTGATCGAGACCTCTATTTTCGAGGCGTGATGTAGGGTCAGATTTGTCACGTAACTACCAAGCTCAATGGAGAAACTTGGTACCAAGGTTCTCTACTATTTTTCATATATATATATATATATATATATATATTATATATATTATATATACTATACTTATATATATTATATATACATATACCTAGCGCATCGTATTTTCATATAATTTTCTTTGCATTTCAAGTAGAATAGGGGAATGTTATTTCACTGACCATATATTTTGTATTTAATGTAAGAATTGTGAAATACGTTTTTATTTTCACGAGGCATTACAGTTTGTAATGAAATTGTAGTTTATGATTGTGGACAAACAAACTACAATTGCCACATTTTTAGAATGAAACTTTAGGAGATTGAAACAAGTTGATTCGACAATAGGTGCATATTGAAAATGATTTGAGTATTAACAAGTAAGAAACTTTTATTTTGGATTTTTCTTTCACTTTCTTACATGTATGAAACTTTATTACACGTTGTTATATTTAATCAATTTTTATTGATGGTATCACGGTTGTACTGGCCCCCCCCCCCCTCTTGGCTCCACCCGCTGTTTAAAGGCGGTACCAATCCTAATATAGTAGTGTGCATGGTTGTTTCTGTTATAAAACTGTTCACATGTGATGCAGAAGAAAGAATATTGTTAAAAGAGAGATCCCGATTTGTCTGTTGCACCAAAGCGTCAAGATTGAAGAGAACAGATTTATAGAAAATGTCCGTTTTTGTTAGCAAAAAGTTTTATGCAGTTGTTTATATTTTTGTTTTTCTTCTCTCTTTGCAGCTAATTTCATTTTATTCAATAATATCGGCAGATCGGCTGTAATTTAGAATTTCATATTTATCTTCTTTACTTCTGATCAAACATCATCTTATATTGTATAATTCTTGACTTGAATTTTTGTAAAAATGTTTTCTTCGTGGGCTATTTAGAGATGACGTTAATGATTTGGGTGTAGGCTGGGATTGGGTCGTGTGAAGTCCTATGTTCATGTGCACGATATGGCCTTAGTTTTCAAAAAACAAATGAAAGTTAATATGGATCCAAACATGTTTTTTATGCATTCTATCACATGCTTTGCAAACTTTTCTTTGTTGAGAGTGTGATGCTACTTGAGCCAAGCAGATAGACGATTTTGAAGTACTTGCTTGATGTTGTTTTCTTAAATGTGCATACTAATTTTGTTTGTTTTTTGTTTTTACATGCAGGATGGGTAAGCGTAAAAATTTGTGCAGTCGGTCTCTTAGACTTCACGAACATTCAAACAACTGGTCCTAACTTGAGTTAATAAGGCATGTACTCCATTATTCAGTAGAACTGACAGGGATGCATGATTTACGGTAAAGGATGGCACTTGTTGCTTAAGTGATTTGCAAGCGTCAAAAAAATTATAGAGTTTCTAACGAGTGCATGATTGGACAATGGCACCGCTCAAGCCCCCTTGGAAGTCACAGGAACATAATGAACTTTTGAAAGTTTTTGAGCAGATAATCATGTATTTTATGCTAACATTAGTTATTTATGTGGCTACACTTTTTCTCGGCCAATATTTCGGCACACGTCTTATTATTCTTATGGTATAAGGTATCTCAAAATTGCCTAATTCTTAGGGATTTTTTTTAAATGGGAAAGGAAGCATCTGACAAGGGTTGTTGTAGCTTCCATTAAGTCATTGATTGCTTGGGCATTCTGTTCACAGTCTGGCTAAGAACAGTTTGTGCAAATTTTGCTTAGGCATTTAATTTTCCAGAAATAGAAGCTGACCCCCCCCGCTATGCTTCCGACCGCCCATGCTGACATGCATATTTGTATATTATGCTTTTGCAACCGTTCCATAATGTGTAGTTGGGAACCTTTTATTTTTGTCCATGCTTGCTTTTTAACCAGATGCATTTACGTCTTGACTGAATCAGTAACCACAGTTCAAATATTGCATGTTATTCTCATCAGTTTCTAATTTATCAAAGTACTTACTTTGAAGGAGTCTCCTATTATTGTTATTTGGAAGTTATATTTCAGGTTGCTTGACTATGATTGCTTTCCTAAAATTGCGGGTTTGCCATGTTTTTTTGAGATGCAGCTCATAAGATGGTAACAAATTTAAGAAGAGAGCATTGAATAAGGAGAAAATACTGAATGAATCTTCAATAAGCAATTTATTATAAATCAAAGGAAATATTCACACACAGTATGTTCGTTATTGGTCATTAACTTCTGAAAATAGATGGTGGTGGCTACAACTAGCCTATGAAGAAGTTTCTTGTGTGGGTATTTCCTTACTACCTTGGGTATGAGTTTTCAAGTTGTGAACGAACTGATGGATACCTAATATATTTTGAATTTTTATATTTAGCCATAAAAGGGGATCCTTGGACATATGACGTCCATACTTCATTGATGTGATTCAATTCCACTATTGGAATTATGCTTGCCCCGCAGAGCTGAATGCTAAATTTTATTCTTTCCTTTTTTGTCTTTGCTCTTTCTAGGATGACTGAAACCTCACATGATCTTTTCTTTTCACGCCTATGAAGACAAGTATCAGTACCAGTCATGTTCTTCTTATTAGCAAGCCCCTCTTTCCCCTAGTTGCCTAGGCTGGTCCTAATGGCGACAATTAGAGTGTTGATGTTAGACTAACAGTAACATCTACACAAAAGTTTTGGTTGACCATTTTGAACCTTCATATTTCAGTTGATACTTGTCTCCACAGTACAACATTTGTATTAAAAGGTATGAGTGAATCAGTGATGCTGACAATTTATGGCCTTCCCTCCAATGCTTCTCATTCACAAAAGCCACATGCTTCCGTCTGTCGAATGTTAGCAATGTTGTTTTCAACAAGAAAGAACAGGATGATTTGAGTAATTGTTAGAAATGACTCACGACAGATTGCACAAGGCCGCAAAAATAACATGAAGAACTACATATTTGAGGTTTCTTTATACATATCGGAGTAGTAATGTGATATGAGAAGGCATGGATTCTATCCAGAAAAGATCATCCTAAAGATAAAAGTAAGCAAAAACAGAAGGGATTGTACCAATCAGGAGAACTAGTGTTGTACTAATGATGTTGGTTGGCTGCATAACAAGACGGACTATATGCTATACAACTAGAAACACTTTGGATTAATGTGGAAATGAGATATTAGGAAATGAAACATGTATCAACAATGGTAAACTATACAATACCCCAAAGCATCGTGGGCTAGAAAGATAAAGCTTGTAAATGTTTCTTATGCTTATTCACCAAGAATTCTGTATCTTTGGTCCTGAATATTCTTAATTACTCAATATTATGATCCATGAGAAGAAATCATACAACCACCTTGCCAACTTTCCCATCAACATCAGGTTTAGAGGGTCATAGTTCTAGAATCGCTTCTTCTCTCTATCTTGTCTTGTTTCTCGGAAATCTTTAATAGCCTGACATTTGTGCTTGTTGTTTGGTCCTGAATGCTTTTCTGATGTTTCTTGTTTGCTCTCCTCAGGCACTTTGTTCCAAATCTTACAATTGGAGCTCCGGTTATTGAGAGTTTGCGGAAGCATACAAGGTGAAACATTCGGCACTTAACAGTTTGTCTTTACCACATAAATAGCAATCATATGGATGTTGATCTGTTCATGTTTGTTTTTGTTTGCTTTTGTTGTTTTTCTAGGGCATACTTGGACTGTCATCTTATGGTTACAAATCCCCTAGACTATGTGGAACCATTAGCTAAGGCTGGCGCTTCAGGTTTTACATTTCATGTTGAAGTGACAAAAGGTAGATGCCAGCACTTCATCTTTTTATTCATCGTGGAGAAAAGCTTTCACTTGTTTTTGTTCTCTCAACTACAATTAAAAAATTTATAGACAATTGGCAAGAAGTAATCCACAAAGTCAAGACTAAGAACATGAGAGCTGGTGTAGCCCTGAAGCCTGGGACTCCTATAGAAGAAGTGTATCCATTGGTGAGCTCTGCTAAGTGCTACTTCATTATGAACTTTTAGTGTGAACTGTATCCGCTTGCCAACATAAAATCTATTTACTGTGCTCAAACATTGACTGATGATTTTAATCAAGGCATTGTTTACCATCGATCTATAAAAAGACAGTTTTTAGTGATATGATGCATACAAATGGCTTTAATTCTAGGATACTTAGGCCTTAGAGAGTGTATGCTGTAGAATCTTGATCTATCAAATGGATATGGGCCGGATAGCCTGGATCTGGCAAATTTGTATTCGACCTGTCTCTGAAAAAATTCCCAAAAAACCCAAAACTGAAAATTTTAGATTAAATATTAGATGCATTTAGTATCGAAAAATATCAATGATGACTAGTCTGATCTGAGCGCCATATGACCTGGCTGAGTCTGACCTGCTTAATCAATGAATTGGGTTTGGGTAAAAAGTGTAGACCCTAAACAATTCAGAGAGGGCTCCAGGTTAAGCAAGACCCAACCAGCTTACAGCCCTAGGCACATGTGCATGCTATGGGTCTAGCTTCTGTTCTCTATTTGATTGCCTTGAGGCAGATGCATTCAGGTGCCCAAACTTTCTTTCCGATCAAAGGAAATATAGATGCGGTTATTGTTAAAATAGTGCAAATTCCATGTCATTATTCTAGAATATCTCTAGAACTACCTATCAGAAGTAGAATCTTGCATTGACATATACTTCAGTTTGTACCAATGTTTTTAGTGTTGTAAATATATTGTTACTACCATTGATGTGGAAGGCAATGTTTACTATGTCTTATTTAAAGTGTGCGTTACTTGTCTCTCTAATAGTTATATTACAACCATGCATTGATGCAAGTATAAAAAGCTTTCTCAAAGGAGATGTTAAACAGCATAGTTTTCCATGTGTATGAGGTGAATTTAACTTCTGTACTGGCTTGAATTCAATATGTTCAGATATATTATCAGAACCTTATCCTTGGCGTTTGGGATAAGAGAACTAATGATATTTTCAAATAAAAGGATTATAAAAATTTGATAAGGGTTGTCATTGGTAAACAGCACCATTTTTTCTTCATAGTTGTATGTTTATCTCTAAAATTCATCTAATCAGAAGTAAATTCTTCGGTGTCATTCACCTTATAAATGTGGTTTCAGACTAGTTTGTTGCCTTTGAAGGCAGTGTTTTAAAAGCGATGTGCCTTAGCACCTCAGGCGCTAAGGTGAGGTGATCCTTTACCTTAGCTCCTTGCATATTGCCAGGCGACGAAGGTTAGTAAGGGGAGAGCCTTTTGGCACCTCAGATGCTCGTCTAAGGCATGTACGACGAGGCGCAAATGGTGTCAACATCTGTTTAGAATTTTTTAGGGCACGAGAGATGTCCAATGAAGAAAATTTTGTTTTTGAATATTTTATTTCTCTTTTCTTGTTTGATTTCTTGCTATTTTATGTTGTAATGTACTTAATTACCTTAAAAGTTCAAACTTTGCTACTTAATTATCTATGTTGATAATTACTAGCTTAGTATTAATATTCACTATTTGTTAATTACTTCTTTATTTAAATGGTTTACAACTTGTTAGCCATTATAATTTGTGACATCGAAAATTAGACTGTGATTAATTTTCCCTGTTGTGATTTATTGATATTGTGTTAATTTGCATATTATTTGCAAATTTTATGATTGTTTTGAATATTTATCACCTTGGTTCACTCGGGTGATCACCTTTTTTGGTGTCTCGTGCCTCAGGCAACATAGAACCTTATCACCGTGACCTCACCTTTCATTTTTAAAACATTGTTTGAAGGAGCAACTTGTTGTCTGGATTATTTACTTCATTTGGATATTCTTTTGGCCTTACATGTAATCAATCAGTATGGTTTCTTATATGGTATGTGACAGCTGATATGCCTAACTGAAAACAGTAAGTTGGTAAATTACTTCTAACTTAAATATGTAACATTCAAGTTCTTCACAATCTGATAACATTATTCGAAACTGAAAACTGACTTATTACTGCTGAAAATCGAGGTTCAAACTTAATTATTTCATTCCTTTCTTCTCAAACAAACCTCAATCTGTTGTAAGCATGACACCCAATATCAAGATTTAGTTTGAAATATGGAAATTTTCTTTTATGGTTGCCAGGTTGAAAGCAGTGATCCTGTAGAGATGGTCCTTGTGATGACGGTGGAACCCGGATTTGGAGGTCAAAAGTTCATGCCAGAAATGATGGATAAGGTAGCTATCCATTATCCTACCGCTTCGATATTTGCTTCTCTTAACGAACTAAACATTTTTCAACATTTTATGGCACTTGAAGCCAATCTTGTGATACATCAGAATATCGAAAATTACACATGCGTGCCATGCTGTTATCATCCCATTAAATACATGCATCCATTTTGGACTTCTGCATGTGATTTGTCCAGATGATTGCTCATAAATCACATGCATCCATTTATTTATATCCAATAATATTTATATGATACAGAGGCATATCTCAATAGTCAAACTTTATAAGAACGTCATGTTTATTTCTTTATTTTATTAATATCATTATTGTTCTTATTATTTTATTATTTATTTATTATTATTATTTTCCGATACTAGACATACATGTCATGTTGTTCCTTAACACCAGTCCACTTACTGTCCTGATTAAATGAGCTCCTTGACTATTATTAGGTTCATGTTTTGCGGAAGAAGTACCCGTCCCTTGATATAGAGGTATGTAAATCTTCAGTCTACTCGATTTTCCTCAATAATTGTGATCTTGTAGCTGTTTTGGATGTTTGATCTTGCATAAAGATAGATGTATGTTGAATCTGGGCCCCATTATGCTGGCTATTGAAAGCAAATCCAACACTAACTACAATCTTATTGTACTTTAATCAATACCCAGTTATATTATCGTATCGATTATAATCATGCAGGTCGACGGTGGGTTGGGACCATCAACCATTGATATGGCCTGGAAGCTCAGTTTTCGGAGTTCCAGACCCGGCCCAGGTTATTTCCACTCTGAGGAACAGCGTCGAATCATCTCAGCGCAAGAGTTAACCTTATGGAGTTTCGAAATGTACACATATATACAATTTATATGCCAAACAAAATAATGTTGAAGTAGCGTGCGGTACAATTGTGATAATTGTAAGAATAATTCAAATTCAACATGTACTGGTGCTCGTTGAGTGGCACTTTCATATATTTGAAATGGTTGAGGGCTGATTAATTCCTTGAGATAAAGCGAAATACTCCAAGTTTCAGTGAATAACATTTGAAACTGTAGAGATTTAAGATTTTATCATTTTTATTTCCACGAGTCTTATCTTTTTCGTGGTCCAAAACTTCAGTCTTCTGCGTTTTGGATAACTGGGGATTCTCTGAGGGTTGATAAAAGTGAGAACGTGTTGGACTTTTCATTCCCGGAGAGAGCTATTTGTCGGATATTCAAGAAAAGAATTCTACTTGCGCTTTTTCTAAAGTTACGTGCATAGAAAGTGTTGGTGCTGAAATTTTTTCCTAGTTTCCAAAAATATGGAATAAAAATAGTATATTGGGCAACTACTAAACTAAGGGTTTGTTTAGATTTGCACCTAGTGAAGGAAAGTTATGGGAACATAGGGTAAATTAAATTAATGGAAGGTAATGGAACATGTAAAACTTGTTCGAGAAATTTATAAAGGGAATCAAGGGGCACTTATTTCATCCCGTTTGGGAAATTTAATAAAGGGAAGGGAATATATGTAAACTTATATAAATAACATTGCATGTTATTAAGTCATTTTATTGTTGGAAGGTAGATAGAGGCTAACATGGTATCTCCATATTTATTTTTTTATTTGAAGTTTCCTTACCTTCCATTCACCCTAGTTATTACACCCCAAATTGGGGGATAACAAAAACTTGATTTTTCTCCGTTCTTTTACCTTTACTTCTCCCCCAGTTACCTAGCATAAATTAATTTTCCCAAACAAGGATAAAGATTACTCTAACTTCTCTTGCCTTTTATTATCCCCAATCCAAATAAGCCCTAAGGTATTCATAAATTAAATTGAAATTGCTCTGAGTGAAAACTTGGTTCTCTTAGAATCGAATCGAGTACTTCTTTGAACAAAAAAAATGAAAAAAAATTATCCAAACATTAAATATGGTTGTACTTGATTTAATTTGAATACTCTGAATAATGTGGTTAAATGCTGCCTTGTTTGATCCAAAATTTGATTCAGTTGAATATTCGAGTTGGTGTCATTATTAAATTTACATTACTACATACTAGCATTTTGGCACGTGTGATGCACGTATAAAAAATATTCAGTTATATGATTAGTCTTACATTTACATTTAATAGGTTGATGATGATTTAATTCATGCAAGTTTACTACGGAGTCCTACACAGAAAATGTACCTTAAACTATTATTTATCAATTAAATCTACCCTTAACACAATTTTTTCAGAGTTGTTCCCTAATTGGGGATAATATAAATAGAGTAAGTGACTAAAATAAAAATAGGAAAAAGAAAAATGGTGATATTTCAATTTAATTATGTAGGTGTTATCATTTCATGATTTAGAATGTTCTAGAAAAAAAGGAAAAAAGAAAGGAAAAGAAAGGAAAAGAAAGAAAATAAATGTTTCTCTTGAAAAATTACAATCCTAATTATGTGAGTCCAAATCCTATTCTCATTTCATGATTTATAATATTCTAAAAATAAGAATGAAAAGAAAGGAAAGGAAAAAAAATAACCTTCTTGCAAAATTACTATTTTTACCTTTAAATTATACTAGGAAGGAGGAAAATATCTATAACTCATCCAACTTTTGCTACCCCAACTATGTTTATTATACAATAGCATAGATATAGATAAACATCCACGAAAGTAAACTAAAAACACATAATTATATGCATCTATATCTATCTATATTATTTAGATATTTGATTTGGTTTGTAGAGGGATATTAAAACATGTTTGATATGTTTAGAGGCTAAACAACACTTAAATATCTTCAAATTTACATGACTCTCCACCTATGTGTGTCAATAGCATAGATATAGATAAACATCCACGAAAGTAAACTAAAAACACATAATTATATGCATCTATATCTATCTATATTATTTAGATATTTGATTTGGTTTGTAGAGGGATATTAAAACATGTTTGATATGTTTAGAGGCTAAACAACACTTAAATATCTTCAAATTTACATGACTCTCCACCTATGT